GGGGGAGCGCTCCTTCTCGTCGGGGGAGTCGTGTTCGGACATGCCGTAGTGCGGCGGCAGCGAGTCCTGCGAGTTCTGGTGCTCCCGCTCCCGCGACCGCCGGCGGCTGTGGAAAAGGTGCTTCAGGCCATGGCCAAACATGGACCCTTCGGACAGCTGCTGGATTTTCTGCAGGAGAGGAGAGAAAACAACCCCGGTTACTGTCAGGAAGAGATGGCATCGCCCCATTTCAGCACACACAGCTCTGAAGGACGGTGCCCACACCAGCACCGAACCGAAACATGAAGCTCGAGGGCTTAAAGAGCTTCTGGAGGGCTCTGGGGACCCCACACCAGCCCAAAGGCACCTGCGAAAGGGAACAAGCCCTGCTGCCAGCACCGCGCTTTGTACCCGTGGAAAAGTATTAAGCATTTAGTGGCCATTTGATGGCACACGGGGTGCATGGTGGCTCAGGATGGCTCCAACAGCATTCCCCACGCCGGAGGGAGGTCTCCGGTGAGCACTGGTGGCCCCTAAAGTAGCCAGAGGAGCAGAAAGACCCTTCAGAGCAAAGGAGGGAGGAGGGTCCCTGCTGCGGCCAACGCCACACGCTGCGCAGAGACCCCGACCCTGCGGGCAGCGGGGATGGAGCAGCCTTGTCCCTCGCTAGAGACGCCAGGGTTACTGCCAGCCTCGGAGCATCGGCCACCGCCACGCTGCCAGGAGCCACCTGCTCTCCGAAACCTGCTCCAGGAAGGATCAGGGGATTTTTTTTATCCCAGGGGATTTTCCATGGCCTCCGAGCACAGCAGGGACCAGGCTGGCCTCACTTACAGGGGTGAAACCGCAGCTCGTGGCCCAGTGCCACCAAATCCAGTCCTCGCTGGGCAGCAACTGGTTTCCAGCAGGAGATGGGGGCACGCCGCTCCCCCCGGCCCCCCCGGGTCTTCCTCTCACGAGGGTCTGAGGCTCATACACAGCTTTTCTCATGGCGGCCCTGGGGAATGGGGGTGGACGCTAGCCGCGGCGCAGTCATGCAATATGGATGGTGGAACAGATCGTGCTCTCGATAACAGCCGGGTCAGCCCGGAGCGGTTTCCCCACAGTCACTGGAATGCCCAGATTTGCATCCACGGGAGATTTTGGCCGGGTGCCCTCCGCACACAGGTGCCCCCTGTGTGGGATCGAGCAGGGGGGCAGCGGCTTCCAGCATCTGCAAAGGGCTCAGCGCATCCCAGTCCCCAGACCCCTGGTCCATCGCGGCTCCCAGGCAGCAAGCAAATGATCCTGGGATATCCAAAGATCCTCTCGCTTCCCAAGGCAGCCTCAGCTACCGGGAACCCAGCAGATCATAAGGCACGAGTCTGCCCTGTTGCTCTCTGTCGCTATTTTGGAGTCAAGCCGAGCACCCTACCTTTGAGGACGCCCGTCCTGACCCTGCTGACGTTCAGGGGCATTTCGCCACGGATGTACTGCGGCTGGGACTCTCCCCAGGGACGCTGGTTCCCATAACTGCGGCGCTGCCATTAACTTATGCTTGAAAACCGGTGTGAAGCGGGCACGGAACTGGGAGCTACTTATAGCCCCAGCGGCCACTTGGCAAAAGCCCCGGCTTTTAGAAAAGCAGTGATGTTTGAGACACGACCTGCGGGAGCTGCAGACTATGGAGGGTTTCACGGCCATACAGAAAGGACTCCTTCTTCTAAAAATCCCGGACGTTAAAGCCACAAGGTCCAAATCCATAAGGGCCTAATTCTTATCCCACCTGTAATATTGGTAAGGAATCGGCAAATAGATCCTGTGTCACTAAACACTACAGGCAAACCCTTTAATCCTTCTGTTATCCATTCATAATGAAAATTTCTATCCATTTAGTTTTTCCTAGGAAATATATAATAAATCTACGGTGCCAAATTGCTACTTCAGGAAATAGTGATTTAAATTTTATTCTATTTATAGAGTCTCTATGGAAACAGAGACAGCATTAGATAGGTAATAACTCTAAACTCACAGATTTTTACCGTCAAGGGTATGGCACACCCTCGGATGCACAGTTAGCCCTTTAGAAGGTCCAAGTGAAAAGGAACAACCAACTCCCTTCCTTAAGGGTAAGGAAAACAAAATAAAAGCAAAGCTGGCAATAAAGGAGAGGATGTTTTTCCAGCTCCAGCGTGGAGGTGGGAGCCAGCCGCCCTCAGGGGGTTCTTGGCCCAACATCCCCCCTGTCCCGCTCCGGCCGTGCCGGGCTCTCCAGAGCCGGTGTTCCTGCCGCTGCCAAACGGCCACGCAGCCTGAAACCTCCCAGTTTCTCACTAAATGGTGTTCCAGCTCTGCCCTGACATCCAAACCTCTTACTTGGCTTTCAGACGCACAAGGAGGGGATCTTGTTGCCATAACCTCATAGCACAGCCGCATGCTGCAAAGTCCTGCTCTATTATTATTATTATTATTAATTATTTATAT